GTTGAAGTAGTCTGGCTGAGACATGTACAGCACACGATCGAGCTTGCTCTGCAGGAAGGCGTTCTTCATGTCGAGCTGCATCAGGTTGAGGTTGAGGACAGCGACGATGCTGAGGAAGATCCTCAACGTGACGTAGCTGCTCACCGGCGCGAACGTCTCGTCGTAGTCGGCGCCATACACCTGTGTGAAGCCCTTCACGACCAGCCTCGCCTTCTCTCGCTCGATGGTGTCGTCGATGTGGTACTTCGTTGTCAACACCCACCGGTTCTTCATGACGTTCACCCCCGGCGGGCGTTCGACCAGCTCCCAAGTGCCCATGTTGATGAGGCTGCGAATCTCCTCCTCCATGGCGGCCTTCACCGCCGGGCCCTTCCAGCTCGCCAACGCCTCCTTCACCGTCATCGTCGAGATGTCCCAACGGTGCTCGGGGTCGACCAGCATGTCGGGGTCGAGTTCCGGAAACTCCTCATCCTCCTCGGCATCGTCGTACAGCAGGTCGTCGTCATCGTCCACGTCATACACCGTGGTGAAGGCAGCGGGGACGAAGAAGTCAGGCGGCCTCCGAAGTCGGCCTGAACGACGTGGTCCCTGCTGGACCTCTGCGGCGTCCCCTCCATCGTCACTGTCGTCGCTGCCCTCGGCGTCCTGCTGCTCCTCAGCCGGCGTCCCAGCCGACTGTTCCACTGTGGTCGGCTTCCCAGCCGACTTCTCCACTGTGGTCGGCTCCCCTGCCGACGTCCCGGTCGCCGACTGCTCCGCGGTCGGCTTCACGGCAGCCTGCTCCCTTGTTGGCTGCTGCTCCTCGACCTGCTGCTCCCCTGTCGACTGCAATCCCACGTCGATTCGCCGCTCGTCACGTCGGCCACCGGCGATGCACTTGACCGGCGCCGAAGGCGGCGTCCCACTACTCCCCTCATCGCCGGAGGCCGACACCAAGGTCAGCCCACGCAGGTCGGCCACGAGGGGAGGGGCAGGGGTCAGAGGGGGAGGGGTAGAGGGGCGGACGTCCTCGACGTCCTCAGAAGCAAGCTCACCGACCTCGACAAGCAACAGCTGCGTCGCCGACGAGGTGTCAGAGGGCAGGGTGGACGACGAGCGACCGGACATCGGCCCATGCTCCGTCCTCCACTCGGCCAGCGACATCTCTTCGTAGAACACCACGTCCGACGTGGTGACCACTCGGTTAGTGGCGACGTCAAGGAGCTCCCAGCCCTGGCTCGCCGCCGACACGCCAAGGTGCAGGCCCCACCTGGCCTTCGGCTGCAGCTTCCCACCGCGCTGCTGCTCAGGAACAAGGAACTGCGCCATGCAGCCCCACACCCGCGCCAGCGACAAGTCGGGCTTCTTCCCGGTCAGCAGCTGGTACGGCGTCGTCCCCGGCGGCAGCGTCGACCTCTCAAGGCAGTTGCGGACCCAGACGGCCTGCCGCAGAGCGAGGTGCCACCAGTGGTGCTGCACACCCATGTGCAGCACCATTGTCCGCACCGACTCCACCACCGTCCTCATCTCCCGCTCCGCCATGCCGTTCTGCTGCGGGGTGTATGGGCAGGTCAGGTCGTGGACGATTCCCTTGTCGTTCACGAAGTCGGTGAACTGCTTCCCGAGGATTTCCCCTCCCCGGTCAGAGCGCAGCATCAGCACCGACTTCTTCGTCTGCCGCTCAGCCACCGCCAGCCACAGTACGAACGCCTGCAACGCATCTGACTTCTTGGCGACCGGATTCACCCACACGTAACGGGTCTTGCGGTCCTTCAGCAGCAAGAAGTACAGGCTGCCATCCTTGGCAGCCACGCGAAACGGCCCGCACAGGTCAATGTGCACGACGGCCAGCACATCGTCGGCGTTGGAGCCTTGGTCGGGGAAGGTGTGCCGCGCCAGTTTCCCGCCGACGCACGAGACACACGGGGAGTCGGCGTCCGTCGCCGACTTGAGGTCCAGCCCAATGGCGACTTCGTTCTTCGCCGAGCTCCGTATGGTGTCCATGCCGACATGCGCAAGCCTCGCATGCATCCGGTCCGGCGTCGACTTCGTCTTCGAGACGATCGCCCGCAGAGCCACGACCTCCGTCGTGGGCGGCGTCGACCTCGTCGCGCAGGGACGCAGGTCGGTGCAGAGGACTCGCCCAGAGTACGTCGCCCGCCCGAGCACCTCCCCTGCTGCCGAGACGAGCAGCATGCCGTCTCCGTCCTCCTGCAGCTTCACGCCATGCTCCTTCAGCTGGCCGGCCGACAGCAGGTTGGCTCGCACACCCGGGACGTACAACACGTCGGGGATGAGCACCTGCTTCCCGGCCTCTCCTTGCAGAGCGACGGTGCCGCAGCCCTGGACATCCTGCAGCGCCCCATTGAAGCCGCGCACATGCCTGATGGCGCCGCTCGGTTGCAGGTCGACGAAGACCTCCTTCGTCCCCATCAGGTGGTGGGAGCAACCACTGTCGAGCAGGACCACCGCCGGGTTCGCCTGCACAGCTGCCGCCACCGCCTGGAAGTCCTCTCCGGCCTCCGGTGCCAGAGAAATGGTTGGCTCCACGACGTCGACCAGCGAGCACGACGCCGTCTTGTCGTCTCGCCCCTTGCCGCCAGCAGAGGAGTCGGCGTCCTTCGCTGAAGTCGATGTCTTGGTCGACTGCTTCTCCTTGCGCGGCTGGTTTCCTCCACGACGAGGACGACGGCTGCCAGACCTTCCACGGCCTCCCTTCGCATCGTCGTCGTCGGAGTCACTGCGGTTGGGACACTCAAAGGAGAGATGGTCGGGATCGCCGCACAGCCAGCACTCCCGACGTCGACCTCCTCCTCCACGACCGCTGTCCTTGGTCGACTTCTTCTTGTCGACCTCCTTGGTCGACTTCCAGCCACTGCTGCTACCACCGCCAGATTGCCCGCGCTGTCCCGGTCGGCCTCCTTGCTTCGCTGAGGTGACCAAGTTCGCCTGCGCCAAGAGCTCCTGCGACCGCTCAGCCTCCTGCATCGCCTCGTCCTGCAGGATATACGAGGTCAGGTTGTCCTCGTTGAGCGTCGCCCTTGTGCTCGGCGCCATGGACAGCCGCTTCAGTAGGTTGTAGCTGCTAGAGAGACCCTGCATGACATGGGTGATGTACGACGCCGTGGAGTACTGCGCGCCGGCCATCCTCATGGTGGCGAGAATCCGCCTGGCTCGGTTGCAGTAGTCGGTCGCACTCTCCTCGTCACCCATACGCAGGTGCGTCAGTTGTCCCTCCAGCTGGGCGATGAACAGGTCGTCGGTGACCTGGTACGTCGACTCAATGAAGTGCCACGCCCGGTGGCCAGCGTCGATGTACTCCCGGCACCACTTCAAGGCGATCTGCACGCCCGGCGAGCAGCACCGCGAGATGACCGTGAAGGTCAACAGCTGCACGGCGCGAAATTCCGCACGCAGGTCGGGATGGTGCTCCCCCGGCGTCGCCACGGTCCCTCGGGCGAAGCCGATCAGCCCGGCCATCTCCAGCTGGGGCTCGATGGCTTCCTTCCAGGTGAGAATGTCGGGTCGACCGACCAGCGGAGGGGTGACCGAGATCCTGTCCGGCGTAAACTTGAAGTAGCCGTAGCTCGGCGCAATCCCGCCCGCCGTCACCTGGGTCGCCGACATCGGCGACAGCCCACTTCGACGCCCACCCGCGTCGACATGCGAGGAGCCTGCAGCCGCCGACGACTGCATCCCTCGCGCCTGAACGCCGCCGGCTTCACCGGCGTGTATCACACCTCGGTGCCTCGACGTGCCTCCCGCACTGCTGCCGACCTGACCTCCACCGGCGTTGACACCCACGTCGACGCCACCGTCGTTGTTCACCGGTCGAGGAGAGGCAGGTCGAGAAGGGGGGTGCTCCGCCGCCCACACGGAGCGGAGTCCGGCTTCGACGACTGCCCAGGGTATCGCCCCATACTCCTGGGCCTCATGGCGTCTCCTCGCATCCTCCAGCCGTCCCTCCAGGGTGTCCATCACCTCGGCGTCGCCTACGCGCACGCTAGTGACTGCACGGCTGCCGGTCTACGAACACGATCGGTATGTGCTAAGTCGGCTAGACTGAGCTACGTCGCGGTGTCCTCCACGCTCACCGCACCATGCGGAGATAACTGCAGCAACGGGAGCTAGGCTGCGGGCTAGGCACGTGTGCTCGTGTGATCTCTGCGTTCTCTGTTCCTTAGTCGTTTTCCTTGTGCACACACTACTTGCTAGTTCACGGGGAAAATTGGCAAGAGTTTCACTAGGAAAAGTTCAGAACAAATTGGTACAATGAAGTTGGCATAGCAAGACTATATCAGAGCAAGCATTCAGGTCGGCCAACTGCCAGCGCAGCTTGGTCGACCGCGTTCCAGCACGACTTGGTCGACCGCACTCCAGCAAGGCAAGGTCGATGGCGTGCCAACGTTGCAGGACAGCAGTGCACCCGCTTCACAGGTGCGCGCAGATGATTGGCGTGCAGAGTCCTGTCACCTCTGATCTGCCACGACGACCTCGGGATACCACCACCGAGGTCGGTCTCGCCAACTTCGCCTGGGAGACCGTCGCACTCCCAGGTAACCCAGTCGACCGGGCAACCATGTCGACCAGCAGCTCCCGTACGTGCCCGTCGACCTCCCAAGTCGACGACCACCTCCACGTCGACTTCTTCAGGTCGACGTCCCCTCTGGTCGACCAACTTCACGTCGACCAGTACTCCTGATCGACCTGCTCCTCGTCGACCAGCATAGTCGTCGGCCGACCACCCACGTCGGCCACCCCAAGTTGACGTCACCAAGTTGACGTCCTCCGCAGGTCGACTCCCAAGTCGACCTCCCTGAAGTCGGCGCCACCCTAAAGTCGGCGCCCGTGCAGTGGTCCCCCGTGGAGGTCGACCTCCTCGTCGACCAGCTCATCCACTGCTGCAGGTCGGCTGCTCCCCTCGCACCCGACCACGAAGTCGACTCCGCCCAAGCGAGGACGGGGCCAATACCCAACTCCCGTTGACACCGTCCTGTCTGGTGAGATCGTCGACTGCTGTCATGGCTACCCCTAGGGTCCTAGCTTTTGACGCTGAGGGTTGCGCCATTGACTTTGAGGTCTGGGTCGACGACCTGCAGCTGTTCTTACAGTGCGATAGGGCAGACGGTCTTTCTCTCTTTGACCTCACCTCTGGCGCCGTCCCCGCCCCTGCTGCTGATGCTGACCCCACTGTTCGCTCCCAGTGGGCCACACGCGATGCTGCTGCACGTCTTGCTGTGCGTCGCCACCTGCCTACCGCTGAGCGCGCGCACTTTAGTCAGTACAAGAGTGCTCAGACCTTGTACGACGCTGTAGTTGCGCGCTACTCCTCCCCTGCCACTGCTGCACTGAGCCGCCTCATGCTACCCTTCCTCTTCCCTGACTTTGCTGCCTTTCCCATAGTCGCTGACCTCATTACGCATCTCCACACTAGTGACACTCGCTACTGCGCTGCGCTTCCTGCTGACTTCTGCGCCAAGAACCCCCCCCCCCATGTACATCACTCTCTATTTCATAGTCACTCGTCTCCCTGACTCCCTTCGTGTAAACAGGGACCACTTCCTCTTAGTCTGTCCCACCACTCTCACTGTAGACCTCCTCGAGAAGTCCCTCCTAGCGGCAAAGAAGAGCATAGTCGCTGTAGGGGCCTCTCGTGGTGACCCGCGCACCCCCATCTTTGAGGGGTGTTCTCCTCCCCCCCTGTTGCCCTCTGTCGACTCTGCCGCTGCGGCCGACCTTGTTGGTCTTGAGTCGGTCGGTGCGGCGTCCGCCCCTAGCGGGAGACGCCGCCCTGGCAAGGGCAAGGGGGGCAAGGGCGCGGGTGGAGCTAGCGGGGGCGGTGGAGGTGGAGGTGGCGGTGGCGGAGGGAGTGGGGGTGGCGGTGGAGGTGGTGGAGGGGGTGGAGGTGCTAGTGGCGGCAGTGGAGGCGGAGGCGGCGGTGGCGGCGGCGTTACTGGCGGGGGCGGCGGTGGTGGTGGAGGCGGAGGCGGCGGAGGTGGAGGTGGTGGAGGTGGTCGGAGTGGCGCTTCGCAGCGGAGCAGCACTGGGGGTGGTTAGTGCCAGCAGCAGCAGCAGCAGCAGCAGCAGCGTTCTCGCGACGTCCCCACCCCTCAGCAGCTCCGTGAGTGGTACACGCTGCGTCAGCGTGGTGGGGGTTTTGGTCCCTGCACCTATGCCTTCGCACCGGCGACCGCGCGGGTGAGCAGTGTGGGGGTGCCCACCCAGCCCAGTGCTGCTTTGGCCGCCTGACGGACGCTTGGCGCCAGCAGTTCCCGGAGGCCACTGAGATCCCCCGCTGGGGAGAGCTGTCTAGGGCTGGTGTAGCTATCTTTGATCTTGACTTTGATGCTATCCTTGCTGCCATGTATGCTGTGACTATTAGTGATGAGGGTGACTGTTACCGGTGTTTCCCGCCCGACCCGGGCATTGGTACTGCTGCTCTAGGTGCCAGTGAGGCTACTGCTCTAGGTGCCAGTGCGTCTGTGCTCTCAGGTACTGGTGAGTCTGCGCTCTCAGGAACTAGTGAGTCTGCGCTCTCAGGTACTTCGTCGGCTTCGGCCTCCCACACCTTCACCCTTGACTCTGGGGCGTCTCGCTCCTTCTTTCGGGACCGCACCACTCTCACGCCGCTTAGTCGGCCTGTTGCGGTGTCCCTGGCTGACCCCTCTGGGGGTCCTGTTTTGTCTCGCTTCTCCACAGTCCTCACGTGTCCGGCGGCTCCCTCTGGCACCCTGTCTGGTCTCTACCTCCCCTCGTTCTCTGCGAACCTGGTGAGTGGTGCTGACCTGCAGGATGCGGGTGTCCACCAGTTCACTCCTGCTCGTCAGCGGGTAACGCACTGCACAGAGGCTAGCACAGGTCGCCACCTGGCTACGTTTACACGTCAGCCAGGGTCGGGCCTGTACACACTGACCACTGCTTCTCCTCCAGGTGCTGAGTCTGGTAGAGTCCCTTCGTCTGGTCAGGTGTTTGCTGCAGCGTCCAGGTCTGGTCCTGAGTCTGCCCCCTGTTCGTGTCGTCGCCTGTCTCACAAGACTCTCCTCTGGCACCACCGCCTTGGTTACCCCTCTCTGCTTCGGCTCAGAGGCATGGCCTCCCGTCTTCTTGTGTCTGGTCTCCCCCGGTCCCTCCCTCCCCTTCCTCAGGGCCCTGGCCCTGCCTGTGTCCCCTGTGTCGAGGGGCGCCAGCGTGCTGCCCCTCAATTCTCGCAATTTCCTCCGACAGAGGCCCCGTTGCAGACGCTTCACATGGACGTGTGGGGCCCTGCCCGCGTCCGTGGACTAGGTCACGAGCGCTACTTCCTGTTGGTGGTTGACGACTACTCGCGTTACACCACAGTCTTCCCCTTGCGCAGCAAGGGTGATGTCACTGAGGTGCTGATCGACTGGATCCGCGCAGCTCGTCTCCACCTCAGGCAGAGCTTTGGCTCGAACTTTCCTGTTCTGCGTCTGCACTCGGACAGAGGCGGAGAGTTCTCCTCTGGCCTTCTGCGTGCCAACTGTCGTGCGCGAGGCATCCGTCAGACCTTCACACTTCCGGACTCACCGCAGCAAAATGGGATTGCAGAGCGCCGCATTGGCATGGTCATGGACGTCGCTCGTACGTCTATGATGCATGCGGCTGCCCCCCATTTTTTGTGGCCGTTTGCGGTCAGGTACGCGGCGCATCAGATCAACCTTCACCCCAGGGTCTCTAGGCCGGAGACCTCCCCAGCCCTGCTGTGGACGGGGAAGGTTGGCGATGCGTCGGCGTTCCGGGTCTGGGGATCTCGGGCGTTTGTCCGCGACTTGTCTGCGGAAAAGCTGTCCCCTCGCGCTGCTCCCTGCATCTTCCTGGGGTTCCCCCCCGACGCGCCTGGGTGGCAGTTCTACCACCCCACCTCTCGCCGTGTTCTGTCCTCCTAGGACGTCACGTTCGACAAGTCGGTACCCTTCTACCGCCTCTTCCCCTACCGCACTCCGTCCCTTCCCCCGCCCCCGCTCTTCCTTGTACCAGGTCCCCCCCCGGTAGACCCCCTCCCCCCTGAGGGTCCTGCCCCTTCAGGTGTGTCCCAAGTAGACGCAGTCGAGCCTGTCGAGGTCACTGGTGACTCTGGTGCTCCTGAAGGTGCTGAGCCTAGGGGTGCTGAGACTGGGGGTGCTGAGCCTGGGGGTGATGGGCCTGGGGGTGCGGAGCCTAGGGGTGCTGAGCCTGGGGGTGCTGAGCCTGGGGGTGCTATGACTGGAGGTGCCTTACGTGGGGGTGCTGGGTCTGGGGGTGCTGAGCCTGGAGGTGCTCCGCCTGGAGGTTCTCCGAGTGCTTCGTCTAGCCGGGAGCCACTCTCTCCACAGGACCTGCGCGAGTGGTTTGCCCGGCGCTGGAGCCGTGCTGCTGGTGCTGGAGGTTCGTCGACTACTGAGGGTGCTGCTGTCGCGGGTCCCGGAGGTGCTCGTCCTGGGAGTACTGGAGCTACTGGGCCTGCAGGTTCGACTGGAGCTGGTGCTGCTGAGGGTGATGGTGCTGAGACTACCACTCGCGGTCCTGCCGGCGGTGCTCCTGGTGCTGCTGGAGGTTCTGGAGCTGCTGGAGGTGCTGCTAGGGGTTCTGGAGCTGCTGGAGGTGCTGCTGGAGGTGCTGCTGGAGCGGGTACTCCTGCTGAGGGCCTGGTGCTGTCCCTGCTGTTTCTGGCGCCGCCACGCGGCCTCGACCATACTTCGTTCCACTCCTGCAGCAGGTTCTTGGACTTACACCTTCTACTGGTCCTCCTCCTCCTCCCTTAGAGGGTCCACAGCCTGTCCAGTCACAGTCACAGCTACAGCCTGCCTCCACTTTGCCTGCTCCTTCTCCCTACGCTGGTCCTACTGGAGGTCTTACTGAGCGTCGTGAGCCTGCGTCTTGTCCTGCGTCGCCTGTTCGTGCTGCGCGTGCTAGTCGTCGCGGTTCGCGTCAGCGTCCTCCGCTTGTCCCTGGCACGCACCGGATGTCTCTCCGTCCGTCTACTGCTCCTCTGCGTGCCCCTTTGCCTTCTCCTCCTGAGTCCTCTCTTCCTACTCTTGCCGACCCGGAGTCGGACTCTCTTCGTGCTGCCAGTCCTACTGTCACGCGTCTGTTGAACAAGAATGGATGAACTAACAGTGAAATGAGTACAAGTATGAAAACCTAGAAATGTGTACCCCCTATAGGCTAACCCACTGTAGCCTAAACAACTACAACAACATATATAATGTTTGACACACCCCCATAGGCGAAGTGGGGGAGAACTAGAGGTCACAAGACCAGTCAAGTAAAGCAAAACAAAGCAAAGCAAGCTCAGGGTGGATCACAACGTCACCACACAATCCGAGCATAAGTTCAAGGCCACAAGGCCAGTTCACATGCAGGAGTACATATATATATAAGAGTAAACAAGCAAGAGCAGTAATATATACATGTAACAGTACAAAGAGGGTCAAGAGGAGAGCAAGTGAGGCAAGACAGACACAAGACCCAGTTGGGTACAGCAGCGCTGATGATCACAAGGCGCAAGTGCCTTGGTGAAGGCATCAGCAGTGTTGGCCTCAGAGGCCACGTACGCAAGTCGCAACTGACCACGCTGCTGTAGCTCACGAGCAAGGAAGTAGCGGAGAGCAATGTGCTTTGTTCTGTGCTCCAGTCTCTGCTCTCGACACAAGGCCAGCATGGCCTTGTTGTCGACGTACAGGACTGGAGGAGAACGAGGCGGCTCTCCAAGGTCGGTCAGCAGGTAGGTGAGCCAGCGAAGCTCCTGAGCAGCCATGGCCCCTGCGTAGATCTCAGCCTCACAACTGGAGCCGAGAACAGAAGACGAGCGAGTAGCCCGCCACGAAACAGAGCCGGAACCAAGGCTGAAGGTGTAACCCTGTGACGACCGCTGCGTAGCCTGGTCGTCAGCCCAAGAAGCGTCTGCGTGTCCAGTGAGGACCACTGGACTCCGCCCTCCAAGCACTAGCCCCATGCCAGACGTACTGCACAAGTAGCGCAACACCCTCTTCGCTGCAGCCATGTGCTCTGGTCGGTGTCTCCCAGGAGCAACATAGCGTGCAAGAATGCTAAGAGGGTATGCAAGGTCAGGTCGTGTGCAGGTCATCAGGTACATGAGACAGCCAACAAGCTCTGGGTACGGGCCACTCGACTCTACGGCCTCATCCGAAGGCAGAGCTGAGAGCGAGTGGCGAGTAGATAGAGGAGTGGCCTGAGGCGAGGAGTACGTGAAGCCGAAGCGCTGAAGGACCTGCTGCACCATGTGTGACTGAGTCAGGGTAATGGTGCGGCGTGCTCTGTCCCGGGTGATCTGCAAGCCAAGGTAGCTGCGCAGTTCACCCAGGTCTGTGCACGTGTGTCTCTTCTGCAGCTCGGACTTCACGTAGGCGAGTCCAGTAGTGTCAGCTGTGGCAAAGACCAAGTCGTCGACGTACACGAGGATGTAGAACGGCTGCAGAGAGGTGTCGGTGCGCAGAAACAGCGACGGGTCAGCAGTAGAAGGAGCGAACCCAAGAGCCGCAAGCGTAGTCCTCAGTGTGTCGTGCCACTCACGTGGCGCCTGGCGGAGACCGTAGACTGGACGCCGGAGACTCCACTGGGTACCAGGAGGGAAAGACCCAGTGAAGCCAGGTGGGCGGCGCAGCCAGATCTCCTCGTGCAGGCTGCCCTGCAAGAAAGCTGTGCTGAAGTCGAGAGAGTGCAGCTCGTAGTCCCGGTGAGCAGCAACGTGCAGCAGTACCCGAAGAGTGGTCATCTTCGGGGTGGGGGAGAAGGTCTGAAAGTAGTCAACTCCCTGCCGCTGACTGAAGCCACGAGCCACGTAACGCGCCTTGAAGACAGGCGGAGAACCCGGCGGCCGCTTCACCCTGAAGATCCACATGCCACTGACGATGTTCGCCCCAGGAGGGGGGACAGCGTCGACGTAGATGCCTGTGGACTTCCAGGAAGCCATCTCTGCATCCATAGCTGCCTGCCACTGAGAGGAGTAGGGACCCTCTAACGCCTCCGCGTAAGAGCGCGGAGTCGGGATGTCAAGTGCATCCGGGTCTCCCTCAGGGGTAAGTAGTACGGACACGAGA